TTTTGGACAAGAGCTAAAACAAGTGATGAAAGAACAAGCATTAAGAAAAAAAATAGGGTAAAGGCTGTATTCTTAGCTGGCAATTCAACATTCAGGGAATACAGCTCTTCAGATACCATACTGGGAGTATTTCTCAATGCCATAACGAAGGGCATGAGAAAAATAATTAAGGCTGTATTGGTGGGGAGGGACGAATGAAGGAATGTCCTCCTGTTACCCACATTAGAACAAAAAAGGCAGGTGCAAACAATAGGTGAAAGATTCCAAAGTTGTTTTACAGATCCTGAAGGAGCTGAAGGCAGGGGCAAGGGAGAAGATCTACCCAGGGAAAAAGAAATTCCAAGGTGCTAAGTGAAGAAATGATAATAATAATAATAATAAAAAATGAGGTTCCTAAGGCAGCAAAAGCCTCGTGTGATGCCAAGGAAGTCAATTAGATCATTTCTAGCTTGAGTGATGCTCCAATCTCTTGAGATGAAAGAAAAGAAGAAAAGAAGAAAAGAAGAAAAGAAGAAAAGAAGAAAAGAAGAAAANAAGAAAAGAAGAAAAGAAGAAAAGAAGAAAAGAAGAAAAGAAGAAAAGAAGAAAAAAGAAAAGCATCTCACGGGGCATAGATGAGAGCAGAGATATTGTTTTTGTTATTGCCACCTTCTGACACCTTTGTCCACTTTGAATAAATAAAAAGTGAAATATGTTTTTAAGAAAAAAAATGATTATAATGTTTTTCAAGACACAACAACATATAGTTCCTGATGAGAAATAAGATAAAGTCATTGAAAATTGTTGCCCTATCACACGAAAACAAACAAAAAAAAGTAGTAAATCTGCTATAACAGAGTAGGGAAGAACGAATTTTGCCTAAAGAAATGCAGAACAGCAGGAGCTTTTCTGGATCATTTTAGCTGAATGTACCCATCTATGTCACACCATCACTTCTTACTTAAAAACAGCTGCAGAAGGCTCCTGCTGTGGCCTTTGCCGTTAGCTGCAGCTCTGATCTTCCTGTCTTGATACAAGTCATCAAGTCGCATTTCCTGTTGGAATTAAAGTGGCAGCCCCTAGGGATTATGCAGCTGCCCAATTTATATCAGAGCAGATTCTGAAGCGAGCACGAGTGTTTTTTTCAAACTGCTTTTTCTCTTTTTTTTTCATATTATATTCCATATTCTATTAAGAATTTTACTCCCTTGTCGCTCCTCACTTTCCAGGCAGTCGCATTTTGAAACCTTTAAAAAACACCCAGACATTTCAAGGTCTCTGCACAAAAGGTAGTGGCAGGAAAAAAAAAAATACAGGGTAAGCTCTTGGCATCAAACCAAATCATGCCTATAACATAAAATGGGGCAGTGAGATCAGACAAAAAATTCTTCAAGGATATTAGTCATTACATGGTTAGTAGTTATATGATATGTATGGTACGTAAGTGCTATGCATGGTATTTACTAGGATCATAACGAAAAAGAGGAAAGACCAGGGAAACTGCTGCGACCAAGTGCTCTAATAGCCCAGTGTCAGACAAGATCATCTTAAAATGAAGCCTATCCTAGCACAGAGATGCAGACTATCATCCTTTTCTGTTCTCTTCTTCTACAAGGCTTAGCACAACGAGATTCAGCTCAATGAACAGTTCTGCTGCTGCTGTGGTTATGGTAAACAACAATTTGGGGACTGTCATGTGGCATCCCATTAAGTAATCTTGGTAGTTAAACACAAACACCCACGACTCGAAGGAAGTCCCTAGGACACCTTAACCACCAAACAAGCTAAAAAGCAATTTGTCTTTCATAGTTAACTCCTTTAAAAAGCTGTCTGCCAAAGTGTATCAAAACCAACACAAAGTTGCAAACCACACTGCTCTTCCTGAAAATCAAGAGTCATGAAAGGCTACAAAATTAATAATCTTATTTTTGTCAAATACCAACAAGCACATCACACCGGAGCACGCTAAATTGTGCATTGCGAGGGCTCTCAGCTAGGTTCCACTTCCCAAATTACTTGAGAGCACATTATAATTAGCAAAGGTATGCGACAGTTTTATACCCCTTTATGATGCATGATTAAAGCCAGGCAACCCAGCTCAGCCCTCAGTTCTGCATGTCCTCAAAACAGATGTGACAAGAACTGCAACCTCCTCCCACACAGGCTGTGAGAAAGCGTGGACAGATAACGTTGGGGCCATCAAAGAGGCAGGACGCTGTGCAAAACTAATTAAACCTCAAAACTCTTCCGAGAGGTTGGCAGACTGTGGTTTACACCAAGTTAGATGCAGTGTCCTGTGCTTGGGCTGCAGAGCTGCAGCACAAGGAGGAGAGCAGCTACCTTCCCCTCCGAGGTACAACTGGCAGCAAAGTTTATAGCCTCCAGGTTAGCAAGGCTTGGCATGAGAGAGCAGAGCACACATGGCTGTAGAAGTTGTTGCAATAACGTAGCTTAGTCCAAGAAACTGATGATATTTTCCTTGTATGGCAGATTCCTTTGACTTGCCTTCAGGCGAGGACTAAGGAGCCCTGGGTCATCATAAGAAGTCAGATCTAAACTGCCCTTTCTCAAAAATTGTGCCTCTCTCATTCGTGCCCCTCTACCACTGAGGAATCAAGCAAAACTCAACTGGAGGTTCAACTTCTTGCCATTAATGGGGGATATATTAACAATGGCGAGAAAATTCTGCACCAGCAAAGGCCTGTGCTGCTTGAAATCAGGCTAGAGACATGTACTGGAAATAGTTGTATAACAAACAATGAGAATATTAGGTTTCAGGAAAACATTTATTTTTGGATGAATGCTTCATGGCTGGCTTTGTTTCTGAGAAATGCATCCAAGCCATCGTTTGTATTCACGTTTCATTCCTAGAGTAACTCTCAATGTTTCTTCCTTCGTGCCACCCCGCTGCATACAGCACCCTTCTGTTTCCAGCTAGCCTCCTTATTGCTTCCTCTGCAATGCTTACGAACCCATCTCCCTAAAATTCCAGCAGCTATGGTCACTTGATTTATTCCTTCAGCCATTGGCACCACACAGTTCCTGCTGTGCTGGTCTCCCTATCTCCTCTGCAGAAAATGCTTCGTTTCTTATTCTCCTTCCAACAAGTTGGCCCCCCTATGCAGTACCCACTGCTTAGGTGGCCACAGATTTGACTGTCCAACTGCCCATTTCTCCTTCAAGCACCTCATGCTTTCCCTAGCACCACCTTTTGGGTGAGGTACAAGTTCCCACAGCCTCAATGCATGACTTTGTCCTCCTCCAGTTCCTACAGCACCCTCTCGAACATGCACGGACATACCATTAACAGCAACATAGGTACCAACCTATGCTCATAAGCACCCTGACTATAGACTACACAAAAAGGCCCTTGTGTTGCCCTCCCTTCCTTCTGCAGTGACATTACTTCCTTCCACCGTTACGTCTCAGTGTTCATCGGGGTGGTATTTGCACAGGTACACACTGGGACACCGTGGAATAACTGCCCCTTGTCGAGGTGGCCGGTGAGTCACGCAGCCGGGTGCGAGCGTGGCTGCGTGCCCGCGTGTGAGAACTGCCCCCGCACACACCGTGCCAGGGCCTAACAGCTCACACATGATTCATCTCTGATAGTTCGTTAATTAACACAGCTGAGAGGCGGAGGCAATTAAACAGAGCGAGGCAGACGCTCTTAGATCTGCTCTGCTCGTAGATCTGGAGGATTTGTTGCCTTTGGGGGCTATCTCTTGTTTGGGCACCTGAAGTCTAAACCACACAGTACAGTGGAAAAGAGACACACAGGGACAAGTCTTCCACTGCTTGCTGTTTGCAATGCTTGTCAGATGAGTTGGTTAAGGGCAGCAAAACATTTAAACCACTATTTTCTAGTGTTTCTGTGTGAAGAAATAAATTGGCCACATATTTATAGGCTAGATGGTATTGCTCTGAGGATATTTAGATGAAGAAGGTGTAGATGACTGCAATTGTTTTACAATCCAGCTTCTCATCATTACCATTCAGAGCTAGCAAACGCAGCTGCCTGGTTCCTGACACTGGCTCATGCTGAATGTCAACCCGGAGATGCAAGAAATCCTACTTAAAGGACAAATATACAGATATCCACACACACTATAAGGTGGTTTTTGTTTTTGTTTTTGTTTTTCTTTTTTTTTTTTTTTGGTTGAACAATGTCACGTTAATCAGAAATAGAGACTTCAATGCAAGCTCTATGGTTAGGCCCACATAGCAGCCTAAACACTCTGCACAACAGGGGAATCTTTGCTTAACACCTCTTCTAAGCAACAGTAACAGCTGCCAAGACGTCCTCATCTCCACATTTATGTTTTGCTCTTAGCAGGATTCACAAGAGAAGGACAAATAAGAAGCCCTGCAATAAACCCTCCTTCTCACTGCAAGCACATTTCACCGTGTGAGTGGCAATCCTCTAGAATAACGTTTTCAAAGATCTTCCATTCAGGGAGTGTCCACTTAGGTGGGCATTAACAAAGTGTTTCTGCTTGCTGAAACACCAGGGCAACATTTGAAAGTCCTTTTCAACATCCTACAACTGAGCTGATTTCAATGCTCCTCTTACAACTTGTCCCTCTGAAAAGTAGTGGAATCTTCCATGAAAATTGCAGAGCAGCAATTTTTACTCTTTGCAATTCAGAAAAAAAGTGTTGAGGCCTATGTGATGATTTAAACACTTACTGTGCTGTCACAGAACTGATCACATAGATGCAGAGAACAACAGCAGATGTGAATGTTCTCTGTATGTGTTGGGGTTACAGCAGGGTACCAGATCTGAACACCGTGTTTTCTTCCACAGACATTTGCCTACCCACAGGTCTGTAAAATTAAAACCCTGCAACTCAAACAGAGGGGAGCTGGAATTCCCTTCCACTTAGTGAAGAATCTGGCCTGATTGCTGGTGACTGCTGATCCCTTCCATGTCATCGCTCCGAAGCTGTGAAACATCCCTGCGACTGTGTTAATTAGCTCCCCTTGCAAAGTGGTTAAGCCCACGGAGCGAGGTTACTCACGTGATATCCCTGCGCTGATAGCAACCTTGAAGAAGGCAAGCGATCAGGTCACTGATAAACTCCACATCATCCCTGTGAAGAGCAGCTTCCAGTTCCTAATGAGCAGAAAAGGAGAAAAAAAAAAATCCAGTCATCAAACTATTTCCTCCAAATACCCCTGCTGGTTGACTAAGACCAGAAAGACCCAAGAAGTACTTGCACAGCAGCAGAGCACACACTGGGTCAGCCAAGCCCTCCTCACCATTAAAAAAGACAATATAAACTATTACATTTGAAACTGTTTCATTTTACTTTTAATTCACCTAGCCTCAGCTTCTGCTAAAATTGCCTCCTATTACCTCTCTTCATTGCCAAAGTTTATGAGAAGACCTTGAAAGGCTTTTTACTGAATGACACTCTCTAGCCAGAAGACTAAGGTGTTTTTTTTTCTGGAAGCAGGAAAATAAGGTTCAGCGAGGCTGAAATGCTGCAGTTTAATAAGAAACCCATAATCTCTCCTATGTTCAGGTGATGGGCAGGAATTAACAGGTTCATTCTGCTGCTTTGTTTTCCATTCACTAAATAGCAGTAGTGGTGAGTTCAGTTAAAAGACTCGTTCAGAAAATGTGGCAGAAAAGTAGCAATTTCAGATGGACATCCAGAAAATGACGAAGAAGCTAGAGAACACATGCCTCATCCCCACATCTTGCTCCCCCAGGAATTTTGATTTTCCTTTTTTTTTTTTTAACTGGGAGAAAAAAATGGGATAGAGAGTTGTCAGGTAACATGACCTGATCCAAATGCTCAAGCCCAGACAGAACAGTGTATTACCACGTATATCAGGATCCATAAAAAGGATAAACCTCCAAACATTAGTATTTTAGATTAGATTAACACATATCTTACAGCTTTCAGAGAAAATATTTGCCTTTGACAGGCATTTTCAAGTGTTGTTTTCAAAATGTTACTAAGTTAACTCAAGATAAATTGTATTTATAAGCTAGAAAATCACTCACGGCAAGAAAATCCACTTTCCATACGAGTGATCATCACAGCATACAGCAGTTAACAAGATTTAATATGGATAGATAACATAGCCATAACAGCCTATTCTTTTTGGGTTTCAGAGTAAATAATGGATTGAATACAAATTCCTCCTTGAATGTTACTCCACAGACTGTTATACAAATGACTAAGCTAATGGCTAAAGAATAAAGGTTAATGGCCAGAGAATAAAGGATAAATGTTTTGGCACTTATCCAATAAAGAAGAGGAAGTGCTTTTTTATTAGACTGCGGTAACTGCAGTAATAAAGTTATCGATAATAGATTGCAGATTAAATGCTGCTTGCAGTATTTTATTGGAAAGGTATTAATGGCATATTTTCATTATCAACACTACTCCTATTTATTTCTTGCACGATATCCAGAGAAGTTCGTAAGCAGAAGCCTGACACCTGCCCTGCGAAGTATATATTAAAAACATTTATCCTATGTGGAAACTGAGGCAAAGAAAGGCCAAAAGGCAGCCAAAGGCAGCACGGTGACCATGACAGGGGCTTCGAGAAGGTCCCAAGAACCTCTGTGCTGGCCTCCAGCTGACTACTTTGCTTAATGGTAAGTTAATACAAAAACTGCAGCTATTGCTCACCATATCTTGGATGGAGTGATAACACTGCTATTTAAAAAGAAGTAATTAATAGCAGTGATAAGTCATGAGATGCATAAAACTGAGTTCACTAAGTAAGCAGCTAACATACTGCAGGTGTTGCTTATTTTTAGAGGACTTTAGCAGTCACCTGCCTTCTACGAAAGTAAGTGAGGGGGCCAGAAAGGATGGGACGTGACAAAACGTAAGTGTTCAGGTAAGTTACCACAACGAACTTGTGGCTTGTGAAAAATGACACATTAGGACTCACAGTAAAAGGAGGGAGAAAGTGAGATCTCTGCCTCGGGAGCTCCTTTCCTACCCACCCACCCTGCACTCAGTCTCTCCCTTTCCCTCATCCGCAGTATCCCTGTGCCTTAAAACCATCAGTCAACAGCCTGCCTTGGCTGGGACATGACAGCCTTTTGTAGCCAGGAATATTTAAATTGCTTCCCGTGAGCCCTTTCAGCTGCTGTTTGACTAATGCTCATTAAACAGTGGCCACAACCCGCCAAGATAGCCCCGTATCTGCTGGGATTGTTTTCCAGGCCCAGGGGCGACCTTTCACATTTTCGCAGCTCGCAGGTCACTGCGGGAGGAGATACGGGGACATTCCTCGGCTGCTGGGCAAGGTGCTGGTCCCCAAGCAGCACGGACATGCAGGCTCGTGCCAACCCGCCTCCAAATACCTAGTGTGGGACCTTCCTACCTACTGTCCTCACTGTCCTCCTGTGGGCTGGACCCACAAGGTGCACCCCTACGTGTGGTCCCTGCCACAGCCGGGGGGCACGCTCAGTTAAGGGGTGCTCCCTCGCCCCAGGATGGACAAGGACAGGCACTGCATGGGATAGTGAATGCGGGCACGAGGTTGTGGGGTCCCAAATGCAGCCCTGCGTTTGCAGCCCATTCCCCGGGGCTGCACACGTGCAAGGGCGCTGGTCCCTGCCCTCCACGGCACACAGCGTCAAGGCTACGTTTAAGGCGCAGTCAGAGAGCTGTTGTGGTTGTTTACCTTGGAAAACGACACCGACCCATCGCCCTGTGAAGTTCTGGCCTGCTTCTTTTCTGCTCCCGCCTGGGATAGGATAGCACTGAGCGCTGGTTTAACTTCCCCGTGACGGGTCCCCTTGGCTCTAACTTAACATGACAGTTCTCCATCCAGAGAGATTCTCTGGCTTTTTGCCCCAAAATATTGGAATTCTAGAGGTTTACATTTTTTTTTTACCCAGGCAAATTCTCTGGCTTTCTGTCTCAAGACATCCAAACGCTGGAGATGTCCCACATCATGCCTGGAGCACCGCAGGAGTTGTGGGAACGGTAGCTATAAGAGGACACCATGCATGTTTTAACATCTAGGGACCACGAAGAATTAGGATCCTCTAATATTTCCACAGCGTCCCCTAGCCCACATTTTTTAATAGGGAAGAAGGATCTTGGCTTTCCCGATCCTCACTCCACAGCCCACGAAGCCACACGGTGCTCGAGCGAGGGGCGCACTGAAGCAGAGAGGCGCCGGAGCGGCGTGCGGGATGCTCCTAGGAGGAACACCACGATCCAATAAAACAAATAAATAAATAGATAAACGAATAGAGCAGCATCCCGTTTCCTGGGGCGAGCGCTGCCCCTTGGCACCCCTGCAGGCCCGGCCGCAGTTCGGGCGCCGCGCGCCTCCTCGGCCGCCTCGCCGCCACCATCCCCCCGACGCCTGCAACCCTTTTGTTTTTCCCCCTTTCTCTTTGAGCACTGAGCTGTGAGCGCAGAAATCTGAACCTTGCCAAAACGCTTTGGGGACAGAACAGAAAGGAAACAGAAGAGGCAGCAAATCAGCAGAGGAAAGCGAGAGAGGGGGGGAAACACATCTCCTCCTCCTCCTGTAGCTGGAGAGAGCAACAGACAGGAGAAAAGCAGGATTCTCCCCCTCTCCAGCTGGCGTCACACCTCATTAGGGAAAAGCCTGTTTAACGTCTTTCCCTGCCCCCATCCCCGGACTAAATCCCCTCTGAGTGCAGCGGTGGCTGTCGGGAAGGGGCGGACGGGGCAGGGTGACCACCTCGCCTGCCCACCGCAGGGCAGGGCTGGCCCGGGGCGAGGGCCACACACTGGTCCCACCACCATTCCAGTGAAAATAGCCAATTCCAGGGAAAGTAGCCGGCATGGGAACACTGGGATGCCCCACAACGGGCAGGTACGATTAGCCCTGCGGGTGCGCAGCTGAAGGTGACCAAGGCTCGAGTCGGGAACGAGCGGTGCTCAACTTCTCCCGCTAAACAGCCGTGGGTATCTGCTAAGCCTGGCTCTTGCCGGCGCCTCCTTGCGCGTGCCGCTCTCTCCTCCTGCGCAGCACACAAGCGCACAGCTGGTGCCCGAGCGCCAGAGCACGCCGCTTTTTCAGTATGAGCCCAGATTTGGGAGAGCAAAGACTGTCAGCTTGGCAGGGAACTGCAGAAACATGGGTCCGCCAACACGACAGCAAGCGCAGAGCAAGTTACGGGCGCTGAGCTGAGGAAGGAAACACAAGGGTATCACTGCACACGGTGGCTTTGTGTAAATAGCGGGGAGACCCCAGCAAGGTGCCTGCTCCGAGGGCGGCACCACGGCCTCTGGGGCCGCACGGCCGAGCTGAACGGCTGCGGCACCGCCCGGGCCCGCAGGCCGCGTCACCCGCAAGCCGCCGTGAGGGACGTAACCAGCCTAAGCACCGCTAAGCCGTGTCCAAGTTAGCCGCTGGTCTAATATCCCAATCCGTTCGGCTCTATTTCTATACGGCGGCTGTTCGCAGCTTTCCGCCGGGATACGCGGCGCGCTCCTGCGGAGGCCTTCAGGAGCGGGCCCAGGGAGCGACCGGCGGCCATGCCGCACCAGCCCCCACCTGCTGGCTGAAATTCCAGCACTGCCACTAAGTTCAGGATTCCCCTCCTGGATAATGATATTAACCTCCCCTCCTGGATAATGATGGGCAGGAGCCTGGCAATTTCATGCCTTCTGGAAAGCTAACAAATACAGTTTACTGGGAGTGGGCAGCAAGGCATGACAACAGGCACTGCTCTGAAACACTTCCAGGCAAACACCATTCCCCGGAGCGCTCCCTCATGCCGCTGCGTGTGCTTCCCACCTCCGGCTAAGCGCTCCTGCTCCCCTCTTTAAATATCCAGCTGTGGCCAGCTATGCACAGAGGCGGCCAGCGGCAGGAGCATGCAGGGACGCCGGGAGGGACCACCGACCACTCGGTGCGTTTGTTGCGGTGTTTGTTACGATATTCCACACAGATCACGGAGGAAAGGGCAGCACCTTCCATCTCAGTGCAAAGCGCACCCAACAAACTCGTCAGGAATAAAGGCAATGCAACGAGGAACAAGGGGCTTCGATACAGTGGGCTGCCACGTAGCTGCTTAGCGAAGAGGATGGGAAAACTAGAGCCACAGGTAAACAGCAGCACTCAGGTTCAAAAGAAAAGGACAATGCCCT